CTTAAGTATTGATATTGGAAGGATAGGAAGCTTTTGTTTGTTTGTTTGTTTTACTGCTGTGATAGAATTCTCAAAGGTTTATTTATGTGGTGGAAAGAGGGAGAGAGATCTCTTTGAACCACTGGGCTCTCGTTATTCTGGCTGGGTTCTTGTTCACAGCTAAACTTGGACAGATTCATAGCAATCATTTTAATGGATGACAGTAGTAGTGATTTTGGGGTAAGGGTAATGCATATTAAGATGATTTTCCTGTTGCATTAGTTCATTCTGTCATGAATTTTTATTAGCCTGGCTGTTTTTTTCTAAGGCATATTGAAAATTAGCAAATTAAGTCTATAAACACTTTTTGTCTTCTCAGATTTTGGTGTTACTCTATGATGCACAAGTTTGGGATCAAGACAAAAGTCTCAAACCTAAATAGATCACATGTAACAACTGCAGGGAAACTCACTGAAGAGAAAACAAGCCCAAAAATGTTTTCTGCAGAATTTGAGTTAGGCACGTTTATTGAAGCCATCCTAGCACAATGTATTGGTTTGGGCTGGCGTAGAATTGATCTGAATTCCTAGATGGTTTTATAGAAGCTGACTACAGTATCTCAGACGCTGAATAGGTTTGAGATTCAAGTTCAGTTTGTTTTCAGCAAACCTTCCTCTTTACCATAAATGGTCTGTGAAACTCCAATAAAATTCAAAAATATTAATGCTGGATTACTACTACCATATTTTTCTAATAGTCAAGCTCAAATGTTTTTGTTGTTTCAATGAACAAATGTGATTTGAAGCTACTGTAGGAGACTTATTCAGACTGTTATTAATAGTCTGAGAAGTGCACATATCCACTAACAAAATAATTTTCCATGGGGTGGGGGGCAGAGAGTTGGATGAGTTTTTATAGCAACATACACATTTCAAGAGTGAAGTGGTGCAGGGTAGACTTGTTAACTCATGTATTAGTAGATACACATTTCTTTCTGGACGCAATCAGGTGAAGTGCAATTGAGGAAACGATTGGAGGAGAATACGTAAGAAACTTGTCTACTTTAGAAGATGCTCCTGATTCTAAAGGAAAAAGTAAATTTTAAAAGGGTTTACTTGATGGCTGGAGCCTGACAAAACCTTTTAGTTTCCTGTGTTGATATACAGCATCTCTTCTGTTTCCTTTTCTCCTTGATAATTTTATCAGTTGCTTTTGGTGCTGTTTGTTACTACAGCAGTGACCAAAGGTCAGTAAACAGACTTAATAGGGATACAAGGTGAGTTATAAAGTTACGAAATCTCTTTAATCCCTTTTGAATTTAGAGGTCAACAAGCCAAGAAACCAGGCAACTGCAAATGTTGTTCTTCTTAGCTTGCACAAATGAGGCAGAGTGTGTTAACTGGTTCTTTTTAACCTGTTGTTGTTAAATCTCCATCTCGGATTTCTCACAGTTGGCTTCTATCCAATTTGTTATTACAGGTGGTTCCACATATTAGTATATTTTTCAGTGTCTCATCCTGTATCTTGTCCTGTCTGATGAGGAAGATGATGCATTGACAACAGCTTCTGCCTGCACTAACTCACCTAAGCAGCTGGTGCTATTTTTTTTTAATTTTTCCATTTTAGGCTGTAGCGTGGCTTTGGTTTTATTCAATGCCTTTATCCATTTGACAGTTATAGCAGTGAAGCCTGTATAGCAGCTAGTCTTTTTTTCCCTCTGTTGTTAGGAGGTTGAGCATTTTGTGCATTCTGAGGCTGTAAATAAAAGTAGTGGTGTTCTTATTCTATTGTCTGCCTGCAGTAGGCATCCTATTCCCTAACAAAGACTAGGTTGCTAGTGGTAGCTAGTGTTAAATAATTTTTGGCAAACTTGGGCTAATAGCACTCTTCCTCTAGAAGGGGGTTACTCCTGGTCAGCGAGGAGGATTTTGAGAGGTGAATGCCAGAAAAATCTAGTTCTTAGTAAAGATTGCTCTTTCATTACAACGCCAGGTTCAAAATGTCTTTACAGGGCTCCTAATCACGTTGCAAAATGCTGCTGCTGTAAACTTCAGTATCTTTAGTGTGACCTGGCTTGTCCCATTCCAGAGTTTTGGGCCTGGCTTAGGCTGAATATTTTGAGAATAGCTGGGAAATGAGATAAAGCAGAAGTAAAGCCCTTATCAACATGAACAAATAGAGGTAAAACAGGGAGGGAAGAAGGGACTATGAAATATTTGTGCTGTAATTAAAGCTGCCTCAAGAGTAAGGGTTCTTCAGATACTTCCCAACTAATTAGGGTGAAGGCTATGAGAGAAGGGAGGAGGGAAAATAAGGAAAGAAAATTACTTTGCTGTGGCTCTGCTTCTGCAAGTGGTTTATGAGGGTTTTTTCCTATTTGTTATTGTACTGATAACTGGAGGTTTGAAAGCCTGCCTTCTGGAGATCTGATATGCTGAGGATTTCTGCATTTGGCTTATGAGGAGGCAGCTATTTTCTAAATGTTAATCTCATTATATTAACCATTTCTTATGTGGTTTTCTTTTGTTAGCCAATTTTTTAGTGTCTTGCGTAAGCCCTCTTCAATTGGCTGGGCTACCACTGTGGGTAATGGAAATATTTCAGTTGTCAAGTGCAAGTGTTTTGTCCCTTGGATGTTGTTGCCTTGGTTTCTCTATAATGGTTTAATATGTTGACCTTTTTCTGATTAGTTAAGAGTATGTGTGGTATTTCTTTCAGCAGTTTAAAGTCACTACTGCTGGCAGCTACCTCTGGGTTAGAACTGCTTTTTGGTAAAGCTTAGTAGGATAAACATTACTCAATAAACGCAGCTAGTTCAGGTCTCAGGTGTGAAAGGGATGGCTTGCTGCTTATTATTGCAGAACACAGAATTCAGTTTGCAAAGCAAGACTGAGGAAAAGAAGGCAAACAAAATCAGAGGCCGCCTTCTAAGAATAAAGAAGCTATTTAAGAAATGGAGAACATAATTAGTGACCATTTTCAGTGTTCTTTATAACCAGTTTTGCTTGCAATAAACTAGTGTCTTTCATACTTTTTGAAATGCATTTGTGCTAAAATGGATGTCTTAAACCAATACAGCTGGAAGAAGTGTCCTTGTTTTCCTCACACCCTCGGTGATACTTCTTTGCTTGTTTCACAGATCTTCGTTTGGGTTTTCTCTGTAATTTACAGCTGAATTACTTCTTTTAAAGTGTTCTTTTTACTTTTTGTCTTCCTAGGTCAACTGTACAAGCTAGAAGGGCTTAAAACCATTGCTGTCACAACCAACGGGATCAACTTAGCCAGATTGCTGCCCCGACTGAAGGAGGCAGGACTGAATGCCATTAACATTAGCCTGGATACTTTGGTTCCAGCTAAATTTGAGTTCATTGTCCGGAGGAAAGGTACAGGCTTGTCATCTAAGGCAACTGTGTTAACACTTGCAGTGATGTTGCGATGTTTCATATGTTTTCACACTTGGTTATTTTGGGAGGGGAGTGAATCGCTGTCCTTCTGAGGCTAGGAGAAGTAGTCTGTACTAGCTTATCTGATAGTGACTCTTTACCTTCTTTCTACAACCCTTAGGCAGGTAGAGCTCCTTTAGTTGGACCTGGTGGATTAGAACATGCTCAAGTCGCCACAGTCAGTGGGACTGTGACTGCGACTGCAGCTGCCCATAACTGGCTGATTACTGGTTAGTCATGGATATAAAGAGTACTCTTCAAATCTTGTGCTGGTCTTGTGTGTTGCTGGTCTTTGATACTGCTCGAAAAGCAGATGTTCCTGCTATAGCAGCTGGGGAGTAAGATGCCACAGGAACTGAACTTGTTGTGAGTAGCAGCAGTTTCTGAAAGTTATTTTTGGGACATGCTAGCAGTGGTCTCACTTGTGATTAGTGATGTTCCCTACCTCCACTGATTTTTAATACAAATAAACAAACCATGCTTAAGGTCACTTGTGGAGGGGTGCTAGCTTTGTAACATCTCTCTGATTGAGCTAGTAATCCCAAATGAAGTTTCAAAAATGCTTGGATGTCCCCAGCATTACAGATTCTTGTTTAAATGAATCCTAAAGCTCATCATGAAGTTCTTCTTCATGGTTGGGCGTCCTTCTAACCTAAAACTGATTTGATTTCAATCCTTCTGTTCCTGTCCAATAATGTAACTCTAGCAGTCTGTGAACTTCTGATTCAGCCAAAGCCCCCAAGTAGCCACTAGATGGTGCCACAAGTTAAGATAAATGTAGGGCAAGGGATGGTGAAATCTGGGATGCTGTGAGAAGTAATTTCAACATTTGAATCATTCTGCTATTAAATCAAAGTTCTGCTGACAGGTACAGAAAGGTGTCCTTGCCTACAGTCTCTCTGAGAACACTTCTTCAGGTTTCTACGTCATGGTGCAGAAATCTGCTCCTGTCATAAATCTGACTGGAGCGTTACCCTTCCAGCATAGGCTATTACACTAATCTGGTTATGACACAGCACAGTTGGCTCCCAGAAAAGTATCTGGGAGTATCTGATCACAAGCAGGTGTTGACTGTGTTCTTCCCTTCTGCTTTCTGCATTTGAATATTACCTGGTTTGTGACATTCACTGGAAACAAGCCCTTCCTTTGCTACTGAAAGGGCAAACCTGATCCTTCAGCTTCCTGAACTATGTGGCCATAACTATTCATATCTGATTGGAAGCTGTTAGGAATGTGCTGCTTATGAAGTAAACTAAAAGTTTTTGGGGGATGCGGGGAATTTTTATTTTTATAAATGTTCTCTTCCCCCTTTAAAGAAAAAATGTTCTTTAATCACGAAAAGAGAAATTAATCAGCTGAATGGCATAGAGAATGAACAGGGAAGTTTCTATGACTCAATACTTTTAAGGAGGAGAATGAAGTCTCCAGATAATAGATAATTTTTTTTAAGTGGAGATAAGGTAAAAATAGTAACATTGAGTTGAGGTTGTTTTTTTTTCTTTTGTTCAGGGCTGAAATTATGTAAAAACACTTTTATTGTTTTTGAGGGTTTTTTATTTAATAGGAGATTTCCAAGTATGGAATGAGCAGAGAATAAAGTGCCTGCCCTACTGTGCTACCCTGTCTCCTGTGGCAGTTCCAGAGGCAACAAGATATAGCTGTATTAAGGTGAGAGGTATTCCTGGTCTTAGACTCCTACAGATTGATAACTTCTGTGGAAAGCAAAGATGTATGTGATTATGGAGCTAACCAGGATCTCAAGAAACTTGGAATCAGTTTTTCTGCTCCTCTGGAAACTTTCTAGGGTTTTAAGAAAAGGCTGTAATTTTTGTATCATTGGTGCAGGCAGGTGACCTGCATTACACCTGCTTTTATTCCCAAATGGTTGGGATAGAGGGAACGACTGTGAGATAATCAGACATTTCACTGATGTGTGAAAGCACATTAGAAGACTATAATATTTCTACTTTTCCCCATCTACCACATTCTAAGGGATGAACAAATGAAAAGTAGTTTCTTGCAGGTAGCCAATCTAACCTGTCTCACAGCCTGTCCCTTCTTTCTTTATTCAGTACAATGAAAATAAGAAAATATTGTCCTGTAACTGAATCAATAAACATTGGCTTCAAGCCTTTCTTCTGGTAAGGATTAAATGTTAGGAGGTGTTGGCCCACATAGGATTGTTCTGGATGTGTCTAAGGTTCTCTGTGCTTTAAAGTTGGCTAAAGTTATGATTTCAGAAGAAATCTAATATGATGGAAATACTGAAATTTTTCATTGGGTGGAAGAGCAGAAGGGTTGTCATTTTGAAATGTCAAACAAAAACTTGGAGAATTTCTTAGCCTTGACAATATTTCCTGACCCAATGACATTTAGTATTCATTTCTGCTCTAATGTTTTGAAATGTTTTGGTTTTATTCTTTTTGTTGTTCCATTACCACACAAGGACTTTGATCTAAAAGGGACGTTTCAGTAAGTATGACAAAACAAATGAACTCCTAATAGTTTTCCATGAAGAAAAAACAGAAAACAGTTAACATCAAAATATGAAATGCAGTTACAGATTATTTACTGTAATTTAAAATTTTTATTTTAAGTAATCATCCTGCCCCCAAAACCTTTTAGTTGAAACAAGCTTGTAGTTGGAATAGCTTACTTTTTTGCTTTGTTTGTAGAGATTTTTTGATAGCTGTTCTAAACCACAGTCTTGTGCTAGTGGTAGGAGGTAAGAGGAAGAAATGGGAAGGACACTGAGGCTGATGCATTTTGAGCTGTAACCCTGTTCTGTACTTCTACAGCAAGCTGAGCCCAAGCACGCAAGTATTCAAACATGCAGAGTTTATGATCTGTTGCTTGCCAGTGATTGCTTCCTGGTCTTTTCAGTTCAGTTTCACCTTTCTGCAATCCTGAAGTTGCACACGAGGTTTTCTGAGCTGTTGCAGAGTGTTTTGATGCCATTCGTGGCTCTAAGTGCTTACAGCACTGTGTCATTATCTCTGTTGCCACATTCAGTCTGAGAACTTGCTTAATTGGAACAAAAGCTACCACAGGTGCTGCAAACTTCCTGGGCACATGCAAAACAAGTAGGCGGTGAAGGAGAAGGGTGACAAGTCAGAACTTCAAACAGTTGCCTGCAAGAGTTGTTTCACTGTCTTCTCCTTGCTCGGCATCTCCGTTTTTGCAGCCAGGACTAGCATTAGGACTGGCTTATGAAACAGTATCTTCTGCTTTCCTCTGTCCCTGCTTTGTTACACCTTTACCAGGCAGAAAACAGTTAAATGAAAATCTTCTCTGTCCTTTTTTTTTTTCCCTGATCTTGAACGCATCCAATATTAATATTATCCAATATTATGCACTGAATATTATTGAGTTATTGCTGACTTCTGATAAAGCACCTACAGATTAATGAAGATACCATCTCTTCACTGGAGTTTCCAGTAAGTAAGAGATAGGGAAAGGTGGGTGACAGACCTATGCAGGAAAACCTGTGACTGGGAACAGCACAAGGATTGTCAGCACAAACTTCTGGAAGATATTGCTCTTTCACTAGCATGTGTAAAGTATTTGCTGTTGAAGACTACAGCTTTGGAAGAAGCAGCTCAGTCTCTTACAGTGCTCGGTCTCTCATACCCGAGTTCAGTGTGCAGAACAGGAAGAGAACTTGGTCTGGTACCTGATAGGGTAGGAGAGACGTTCACAAACACAGTGCTGGCAGCTGAGCACACCCACGCACCACAAGCGCGTACCCGGAGCTTGCTGTCTCATTCTTGCTACTCTCACCTTGTTTCTTTGCCAGCTGGTGAGTGTGGCAGGGAATGAATAATATGTCAAATCTAAAATTGAGATCTTATTTAAAGTTGACAGAAGGTGTGGTTTGACTAAGATGATTAAGAGGCTTTCCTAAAGGCCTTTGGAATTCCAAAATTGCATTGTTGCTTTGTATTTCTTCCAAACTTAAGAGGTATATGTAGGGGTGAAGATACTTGTGCTGAATTAACTATAGTTAATAACTCCTCCTCCTCTTTAGAAAGATACTTTTAAAATTCATTTAGTAAAATTGCTCTCTGACTCAGAACAGTGAGATTCTGCCATTTTAGCAAAGACATGTGTGCCATTATTATCAAATAAACATTGATTTGTTATTCTTTCTCCATTGCATATGGAGGCTGTTCACAAATTCCTTTCCCTTTAAGAAGAACGTAACACAAGGAGAAGCTGACTTACGGGGAACTGGAGCATCATATGCTAATGATCCATAGGTGTCTAAAGAGCAGAAAAGCATACCAGTATTTTTGACTACCCAAATACCAATTAAAAAATTGATCTCAGTGACCGCAGTAACACTGGCAGCCTTTTCGAGGGGAGTCCGTAGAACTGAAGTCTCTTTACTTGCAGCTTTTCTTACTTGCAGCGCTGTCTACTGAATCAGATTGGGTTTTATTTGTCATCTTTTTGTCTTGTACTTAATAACCTCCTTTTGCATTTAGTTTTTAAACAAGAAAAATAAATTTTTTTTGTTCTTTTTATATCTTAGGCTTTCACAAGGTAATGGAAGGGATCCATAAAGCCACTGAGCTCGGTTACCGTCCTGTTAAGGTAAAGCGAGTGAAACTGTTGTGTTTTAACATAAATTGTGTTAAAAGATACAGCTAACCTGATGAGGAATTCACTGTTCACCCCTCTGAATAATTTTTGGTAAAACTGAAGAAAATTTTAGCAGATTAAAGATCACATCAAGAGGTAAAGGGGGAAATTCATATAATCTCCCTGTGCAGGTGAGGGTACAGGTTCATCCTGCCACAAAACCCATCAGTTGCCCAGCTGCTGGCTACAGGGTGGTCCTGCTCTGTGCTTGCCTCTTCCTACTCCCTCTATCGATTTTGCATTTGTCTGACCTAGCTTATATTAGTTCTCCATTTAGCAAGACAACTACCTCGATTGGATGCAAAAACTTGCAGGCAAGTTTGGCAGAAATTATAATCTATACCGGTTCAATCCTGCCAACTTCTCTCACGCTTTCTTTCCAAAAAAAAAAAAAAAAAAAAAAAAAAAAAAA